GGGTTTAGGATTTAGGGTTTGGGAGCTTCAGAACGTCAAGTACAGCAATACAGATTCCAAATGGTAGGATCCTTATCATCAGGGCCCGAAGCAAGTATCCGAAAGCATCCCAAACTTGCAACCACCCTTGAATACAGTTAAGCTCCGGAATTTCCGTCGGGGGGCTTTCGCTTGAAGTCTGGTCGGTTCGAACCCCATGCGAGCTCCTTCACAGCAACGACGGCCTGACGATACAAGCTCCGAAGAGTGGGGTCGTGGGTGCATGCTAATACTCGGCCCACAGGCGAACCTGTGAGGTGCTTCGACCAAAATATCGGCAGCTTTCGCTTCGGAACATGCACATTTGGGATTCCTGAAACCTGCTTGCAGTACGGCCAAGCTCTCGACTCCTTGTCTTGTTCACGTTTATTTCGGAAATGACGGCGACATTGAGTTTCCTCTAGACTCCACACACAGTCAGTCGCCCAAACAATCGCACGTTCTGCATGGCTTGACACATTAATGACTTGTTAACATACTCAACCCAAGCTGTCGAGCTAACTACTGGTACCCCTAAACTTCGTCTGCTCTTAGCCATAAGTACTTAGTCTCTTCTCTGAACACTACCTCTTCGAAGGCTTGTGTCTACGCCCTTCCGCACAGCCTATATAGTCCCTAAAACCCTCAAGTCTTAAAGCCTTAAAGCCTTAAAAATCCCTAGAACCCCAAAACCCCTAAACCCCCCACTTAAGCCCAAAAAACCCCTAGAACCCTAAAGCCCCCTAAAACCCCCACTTAAGCCCTAAAAGCCCTAAAACCCCCTCACTTAAGCCCTAAAACCCCTAAAACCCCCTCACTGAAGCCCCTAAAAACCCTTTTTCCCAACTTCGCCTCTGCATCGAGGGCCGAGTGGTTAATCTCCCACCACAGCGAGCCCTTCTCCGGGAAGGGCAGGGCTGCCCACTCCTCCTGCAGGATGTAGGAATTTAGGGTTTAGGGTTTAGAGTTTAGGGTTTAGGGTTTAGGGTTTAGAGTTTAGGGTTTTGGGTTTAGGGTTTAGGGTTTAGAGTTGAGGGTCTAGGGTTTAGGGTTTAGGGTTTGACTCCTGCACTTGGAGGTTCATGGGTAGTTATAAGTAGGGTTATGGGGCTCCTTTAAGGGTTCCCTTTAAGGGGTTCTATAGTAGGGTTTAGGGTTTGGGGGGTTCATGGGTAGTTTTAAGTGGGGTTGTAAGTAAGGTAACTGTACTTATAACCCATGTTAGGGGACTTATATCTCCATTAATGAACCTCCAAGCAGGATGTAATCCAGCGCGGACCTACCCTGAAACCCTGTAAGAAACCCCTAGAGAAGCCCTTGTTATGGAACTCTTATAGATACTTGCAGGTTCATGGGGTGGTTATAAGTGGAGTTCAAAGGCCTATACGTATAGTCACCCTACTTATAACCCCACTTATAACCACCCATGAACCTCCAAGTACCCACGGTAATCTGCCAACACTGAAGTCTCTGATTTCCTATGGCGGAAGAACAGGATTGGGTATTACAATCGTGTTAACCCTGTGCCTTGTCCTTCTGCGGCAGAGCTGCTCTAAGAAGTCATGCTGCCATGTGCTGGTGCGAGAAGAGACATGATACACACACCCCCGAAGTGCCTTACCCCACAGCTGTAAGATTAGCTTCTGGCCGAGGTCCTGCGTAAACCAGCGCGCATCCGCCAGCTCGCCTCATTATATATATATATATATATATATACACATGTATATATATATATATATGTATGTATGTATGTATGTATGTATGTATGTATGTATGTATGTATGTATGTACTCTCTGTATATATATATATATAGACCATACATACATATATATATATATATATTGTGAAAAAATAAATATACATATATATATATATAGAGCCGAGCTGAGCCAGCATTCACGCCGAGTCAACATTTGCGTTGACAGTCGCTGCCGTGACAGAAATGTGTACCACCGCGACGAAAGCAACCACAACCATCACCATCGCCAACTCCATCAAAGCCACCGGCAGCACTCTCAGCAGAGAAGGGTATTAGCATATTGATTCTTGATCTTCCTCACCATTGCAACCAGAACCCTCAACGTCATCTCGAGTAGAAACACCAGGATTTGGAGCAGCGACAGGTGACAAAGGCAATTATGCAGCCCGAAAACACGACACAAAGATAAGTTCAACATACTATGCGCATACTTGCATGTAAGGATGCCACTACACTCATGTTTGCCGCTTCCCGCCGCAGACCCTGCCTCTGCTAGTCACGCTTCTCCTACCCCCCTCCTGCTACTGCGACAGCTGCTACCACTGCTGTGACTGGCAGTGCTGCTACTACTGGGGTGACGACGACGACCATTACTGCGATGACGACTGCAGCCGTGAACACTTTTGGAATATACTGTCGACTGCTGAATATCATGCACTGCAATCTTCTACTGCAATCTTCAAGCTGTAGCTTTTCAGAATATACCAATCTGTTAAATTGTCTTGCTATTCATGGTAACGCGATTACGACATTTACTGCGATTGCCCCAACTAGACTACCTCGAAGACAACGAGGACGACAACAGCTGCGACTACGTCGACGACAACGACGATGCCTGCTGATGCTACTACTTCTGGTGCTAGTGCTAGTGCTAGTGCTGATTGTGATTCTACTGCTGCTGCTGCTGCTGCTGCTGCTGCTGCTGCTGCTGCTACGGCTACTGCTACTGCTAGTGCTGCTGCTACTGATGCTGCTACGACTGCTGCTACGACGGCACCGACTATTACGTCGTACTACCACCATTACCTCCACCCCTACTACTACTCCTCCTGCTGCTGCTGCTGCCTCTGCTGCTGCGACTGTTAGTCATCTGGGACACTGTTCGCGGCAGGAGAACAAGCCTGGTGGGCAACATTACGATAATGTAGGGGCCTTAATAATTAGAAAAGGGTTTGGGGGGTTCCTTATTATAATTGTGGCATAATGCCCCAAAGCCCTATTCTAATTCTTAAGGCGTCGATATTAGTTAGATCGGCAGAGGCAGATGGGGCCTTCGTCCTTCCTTGCTGCTCAAACAAAGCCCCCTGCTTTGGCACATCTGGATCTGGTTGCTGAGCGCTGTGCCTTCAGAGCTGTACTTGGAGGTTCATGGGTAGTTATAAGTGGAGTCATAAGCCCCCTAATATGGGCTATAATTATAGTTACCCTATGTAATTCTAACCCCACTTATAACTACCCATGAACCTCCAAGTAAGGGAAAGTTGAGGGACACAGATCGTGGGACCGGGGTGAACATCAAAAGCCATGAGGGTCCTGCTGTTTGGCCTCAAGAAAAGCAGTATGACCCAAGACATGTTTAATGCCGCTCAAGCAAACATACCACACGAAGTTCAGGATGCGAAGACTTGAGCTTGCATGGCTGGCTGGAGGCTAGATCGACCACTGCCTGGAAACAAAAGTGGCGTTTAGCAATCTTCGACAAAGGGTCAAGTAGGTTCGAAGGCCAATTTGAAAGAAGACCAACCAAATTCGGGCCGCCACTCAGCTTTTCGAATCGTGTTGCCGTTTCGACTCACTTCGGCAGAGGCTGCAGCAGTATAGCCAGGCTGCACTTGACGATAAAGAAGATGTTGCTCTTCCCTTCCTTGGCTGATTAGAAGGCACTTGGTGGCTTGAGCCATGGAAAACCCATCACATCGTCTCTAAGCTCTTGATGAAAACTGAATTTGCTAGACCCACTCGATGTTCGAGATCTGAGACAGCGCAAGGGTGGTGCCCGTGGTGAGCTTCTCCGAATGAAAAAGACCCTATGAGCGTGCTTTCCACCCTACAAACTGCCCTACGAAGTCCATCCGAGCTCACCTGAGTACTTTGAGGTTCATGGGTAGTTATAAGTGGGGTTATAAGTAGGGTAACTATAATTAGGGGACTTATAACTCCACTTAGAACTACCCCTCCAACCTCCAAGGATGATCCCTTGTAGACCCCCTATAGGACCCCTTATAGAGCCCTTATACAACCCCCTTATGGATCCCTTAAAGGAGCCTTATAACCACCCCATGAACCTCCAAGTAGGGGCCTTAATAATTAGAATAGGGGTTCCTTTAAGAGGGGTCCTATAAGGGTTACTATAAGAAGGGTTTTGGGGACCATTATACTATAATTATAGTATGAACCTCCAAGTAGGGTGCTCTCTTCCCCGCCGACATCACAGCTGCCAAGCTGCGTGTGCCAGATTTCCACCTGGAGCGAGGGCTACGGTTTAGGGCTTTAGGGGTTTAGGGTTTTAGGGTTTAGGGTTTAGGGTTCAGGGATTTTGGGGGTTTAGGGGTTTAGGGTTTAGGGATTTAGGGGTTTAGGGTTTCAAGCTGTGGCACTTGAACCCTGCTGTAGTTGGCTAGAGGATAGACCTGCATACGTGTGAAGTGAAGGATATATATATATATATAGATCTGTATATGTACACAGAGATAGGTACACACATGTACACATGTATACCTGTATACATATACATGTAAATATACAGGTACATATACATGTACATATACAAATACAAATACTAACACGAGTACACATACACACATACATGCATGCATGCATACATACATACATACATACATACATACATACATACATACATTACATTACATACATACTTACTTACTTACATACATGAATACACACATATAGGAGCATAGAAATAACATATATCTACATGTATGTATGTAACCTATATACATATATAGATACATATGTATATGTATCTAAATTGTACACACATGCACACCCGAGAAGAACAATCACAAGTTCATATGCACTTTTGCTGACATTCTCCCTCTTTTCAACTAGCAACTACCTGCCCTGATTCTCACATTGCCAGAGCGTCCAGCACCAATGGCCCTGAAGCTTGGGCACCGGCCGTGGTTCATGGTGAATGCTCCGAAATACTCGAACTTGGCGTCGATGCCCGTCTCCTGCCATGTGCTTCTGCAGTCTGGATGTGTGCAAGACGCAGAGTGTAGAGGCTGCACCAGATGGCCAAAATGTGGCAGGAAACATCCTCTTCCCTGAACGCTTCATGCTAGTCAAGTCTTAGCATTTATGCTTCGGCACTTCAGTTTGACCCACTGGCAACCTGAATATGACCACGTTTAGCGACCTGCAGCAGCACTGCAGGAGGCAGAAATATCGACGGTGGTGATGAGGAAGACATGTGACAATGGCGATGATGATGATGATGATGGTTCATCAACGTCATTATCATATGTAATAGTGATGCTGCTGCTGGTGATGATGATGGAGATGAAACGAATACTGATGACCAGGATCAGCAGGGTAATGACGATGAAGATGTCAGCTCGGCCAGCTGAACCTGATGTCTTCGGCCTCCTTGACCTCGCGGACGGCTGCATCGTGCAAGTCCTCGTCGCATAAAAACCAACATCGCATCGTACACGAATCTAAAAGCAGTCCGCTGCGCATTTCTCTAAGGATCAATTCTGGGTGCATGTATGCCAAGATTGCATGAGGCCACCTTCTACGTCACACCATAGTTCCAAGACCGCATGGTACATGGTTTGCATGCGTGAGAGGACGCTGGATAGACCTGTGTTAGCAAGGCACTGGCAGCCCATTGCAACCCAAAGCCCAGCCGAAAATTGAAGACACGCAAGCTCTTCAACCCCAACAAAGATGGGGTTTCCGAAAATAGGGGACCCTAATATAGTACCCTAAAGAATAGGATCTTTATTTTAAGGACCCCAAAATAAGGTACCCTAATTTTCGGAAACTCCCATATAAGGCCCTTGAGTCAGGCGCCTCCCCAGCGTCCACCATGCCTGTGGGAATCTTCCACACTCCAGATCGCCCCGCCGGCCCCGATCGCTCTCGGACGAGGAGGACCTGCCCCTGGAGGACGTTTTGGGCTCAAGCAAGGGCCCAAGGGGTTCACGTCTCTGCTGGAAGGGTTTACGGCGTTTACGGGGGTTCACGGCTTATCACTTTGGTGCTTTCGGCGTTATGGCCGGCTTCGGACTTCGTGGTTTACGGATGGAATAACAATCTGTGCATTCATCCAGTGCTATCAATGGCAGGCAATAGCTGTGGCAATCACAGGAGGGTGTGGCAGCAGTCATCGTCTTCACAAAAGGGGCTCGACGCAGTTCGACCGGTGGTTCTGCGGCAAGACTAATTACAAACATTCCATCCGTCCCTGCGACCCTGCTTGCCTAAGATTGCCTACGTATCTGATCTGACAGGGGTCGCACTCGAAGCGTCCAGAAACCTTGCCGCAGCTACTGCTACTGCTACTGCCACAGCTACTGCTACTGCCACTGCTACTGCCACCACCACTAGTACTACTACTACTACTACTACTACTACTACTACTACTACTACTACTCCCTCTGCCTAGGACGACGACGACGACGAGGACGGCGACGACGACGACGACCACGACGACGACGACGACGACGACGACTACTACACTACCACTACACCTACCACTACCACTACTACTACGACGACGACTACTATTACTACTACTACTACTACTACTACTACTACTACTACGACTACTACTACTGCTACTATTATTATTATTACCATTATTACTACTATTACTAGTACTACGACGACGACTACCACTAC